TACACACACACGCACACACATACACACGCGCGCACAAACATGCACACACACGCAGGCTTACAATCACATGCATAATATTAATGAGCAGCAATATAAACAATAATAATCTTAAGCTAGATACATACTCAATGCTATTCTGATGTATGCTCTAAGGTCATATGAATACAAGATGGATAAGATGGAACATTTTTAATGGATGGTGGTAAAAATGACCTTCTGTATCTTTCTTTGTTAGAAAGGACCCGTAGGCCTTCTCTACACCGCACGTATCCCCCCTTCACCGTCTCTTCCCAATTTTCACTGACCATCATATTATCATCTACCTTTGGTTGATCTTTTATGTTCGTTGGAGGTGGCCATGTGGTACTGGACCTATGTGAACACTACGTTTCCTTTCTTACTATGCTGTGTGCTGTACCAGTAGATTGGGGGTGGTTGGCGGATGCTGTGGTGTGGTTTGCTCCTTCTGTCTATCAAACATCAATTGTTTCATCTGTCAATTCTATTGTTTGTTACTGTCTTGGAGCACTTCCAAACATCAGCACTTTTATGACGTCGTTGTGTTAAGTAATAGTCGTAAGATTTTTACTAAAGCTAAACCTATATGTGGGATGGGGGTGGGGGAAGGGGCTCAATAAATGGAACAAATCAGCATGAAGACAAAGATTTGAGAACGTAGTAATAAAACCATGGTACTTCAACGTCCGTGGTTGTCGACTGGCATGTCTTGTACTCTGCCTAACATCCTCTATGAGTGCTGAAACACGGAGAGATGGTGGGCTCGAGGCTTCTACGCCAGACTAACCGAATTGTAGGGAATTGTCTCCGCCGTCTACTTGCATTAGAGTCTAGTGATGGGGGCGAATTGTACTCTCAGGCCCTTCCATTGAGGTGTACACACACTGTACATTTTGACGAATCTCTGTCTGCGTGGAAGTAGTGATTGGAAGTAGTAGCATCGGCGGTCACTTCACTGTTATAATGCCTATTCTTCTATTGTTTCCTCCTTGTACTTTCGTTTCTCTCCATTATATATGCTTTCTTTTCTCTCTATGTACTTTCGTTCCACCTGATGGTGTTTGTGCGGGTGCTTAGAGGGTGCCACTGGTAAGTCCTATTTCTTTATTTTAGTTTCCCTGTTATTTCTGTCTCTCTGTCTTACCTTTCCCCAGCTCTAAATGACCGTTATTGTGCCTTTCTTTACTCAAACAAAACAAAAACAACCAACCAAACAAGCACACAAACAAACAAACAAACAAACAAGTGGAAATAGTAATTGGAAGTACTTCCGTCGGCAGTCACGCGACTGTAACTTTTCCATTGGTTCCTCCGTGGTATGTTCGTTTCTCTCCGTCACACACGTTCCTTTCTTTCCATGTACTTCACTTTCTCTCTACCTCTTGGTGCTTGCATTTCGCTTTCATTTTTTATGTTAAACGTGTTATCAACACGTAATCAAACAGTGTAGAGAAAGGCGCTGGTTTATAGGTGCTTGGTACAGAAAGAAAGAGTTAATTTATTTTCACTTTCAAGCCTTCTTCCACCCTCACCCCCGCCACCCCATCCCGCCTTTTTACCTGTTGGATGTATGGAAGCTTCAGTGTTGCCATCGTAATCTGTTCCTAGCAAGTGTAGGTGGGTGTTTTGCGGACGTTCTGGTATGGTTTGTTCTATCTTTCCTATCAAACTATAATTATCGTCCTTAATCTCTTGTTCTTTTCTTTGATTGTTACTCTGTAATAATACCGACGTCTGAGGTGTAGCGGTTAGACGCTACTCTGTCACACGCAGGGGACCTGAGTTTGATTCCCGAGTGGGGCGAATTCTAATTTTATATCGAGAATCTCGGTCTTTTTGCTGGGATATAGTATACTTCTCTTCAGCTCGAGGTGGCTTTGACAGGCAGGGTAAGACACCCGCCTCTTAAATGATCTAAATTGAGTCGGTTAAAAGAGTATCTCGGGTAACACTTCTAATCTTACCTTTAACTTTCCGCTCTTCTGTGACCGATTTGTGTTGCCATGACACTCTTACCAGAACTTAACTGAACCTAGCGAGTGTGTGGCCATGTTCTTGCTGACGCGTGACAAAACGCTACTCAACGACTTGACAACATTCAGACCATCCATGTCTGCACGTGATGGAAGAACTAACCTACATTATGATACAAGACCGCCCTCTGCCGTTGACGTGGTACTCTCAGTCCCCGGCCTGTAGTGACCGTAAGACCGAGTAAGCGAGTGCTGGTTCATTATCTCCCCTCTTACCAGCCACATATTAGATTACCCTCCTTTGACCGCTGTGACTGGCCGCGACAGAGGTGACCGAGACGGTCAGTGCTGGGTAAATGGGAGAAAATAGAATGGGTTTCTTAAAAAAAAAAAAAAGACAAAATGGGAACACACTTGCACTCACTCACGCACGCGCACACGCGCGCGCATGAACGCAAGCACACACACACACACACACACA